TCTTCTGTGTGTGTGTGTGTGTGTGTGTGTGTGTGTCTGTCTGTCTGTCTGTCTGTCTTTCTCCTTCCCTCCCCTCCTTCCCTCCTTGCCTCCCTGGCGCTCTCTACCCCATCTCTGTTTCTCTTTCTTTCTCTCTCTCTCCTTCCCTCTCCCTCTCTCCCCCTCACTCTCTCTCCCTGTCTCTCCTCTGTCTTTCTCTCTCTCTCTTTCTCTTTCTCTCCCCTTCTTCCCCTCTCTCTCTCTCCCTCTCTCCCCCCACCCCGACAGAACCCCCTTCCTTCCCACTCTGTTCACCCCATGGGGCAGCTCCTCTGGACCAGGATTGCTCTAGCCTGTGGACAGGATGGAGCGGTCAGTCCCTCAGGCCCTACTGGACCATGGGGTATGACCTTCCAATTTCAGGGACACGTGGGCCCTTCCTGGGGAAGGTAAAGGAGAGAGAAGGCGCATCCCTGAGGGATGGCCTTCTGTGGACTTGCAGTAGTGACTAAGCAAGGTGCGTGATCGAGGGGGGGCGGGGCGCAGCATAGACGTGGGTTCCTCGGCCTCCTCTCAGTGGCCCCGGGCTCCCTCCAAACCATCCTGGGCTCCACCGTGGCCTGCAGCGTCTCCATTCCCAGGCCCCGGGGCTGTCACCTTGTGCTGTTTTGTCCCTGCGAATTGTCAGAAATGCAAGCACTGTCCCAGCTGGAAGCTTCTATATGGTACCCGAGTCCTGGTGCAGACAGAACTTGGTTCTCTGCGGAGTTGTACGAATGTGCCGTGGACCCTCCCTGTGGGCCTCCTCAGCCCTGGCTTTGTCTGGGACTCTTGCTGGCCACCCCCTGCCCATGTGCTCCCTCCTGGGGGGCAGAGGGAGGGTCCTGGCTGCTGCCCACACCGTTCATGTGCCCAGGAGGGGGCCCCCAGGACAGTTTAGTGCCTGTGACAGGAGCTCCAGTTGTGGGGTCCAGGGCTGCCCCTTTGGTCACCTTGTGCTTTGTGACTTGGGGTGTCCCGTCCCGGGCACTCGGCCCACTTGGCCTTCCGCTGGCTGGAGGCTAGTCACCACCTGGAAGATCCACAGCTCCGAGAGCAGCTGTGAGAGGAGCTCAGGCCCCGTGCACCCTCACCCTCTCGAAGCCCACCCGGGGCATGTCAGCGAGGGGCGGCCCGGCTCCAGAGCCCAGAATCTCCCTGACCCCTTCCTGCCTCCTCCCCACGGCCCAAAGGCATCTGCCACCCCAGAGGCTCGGTGCACGGGGTCGGCAGCCATGGCTCTGTCACTCACTTTTAGGGTTCGGTGGGGAGGGGCAGGTGGTGCCAGGAGGGGGCCCAGTGCCAGGCACCCTCTGGGCCCCAGAGCCTGCACTGACTCCGCAGGAGCTGCAGGTTGGGCTGGGAGTGACCCATTTTCTCTTTTCTCGTGGATGTTACAAACAGGTGGAGAGGGGGCCGGAGCAAGAGCACAGTGGGGAGGGAGTTTGCCTGGCATAGGGCTGACCCGGCATCTCATAGGGTGCCCCCGAGCACCGCCAGGAGTAATCCCTGAGCATCACTGGGTGTGACCCAACAAGCCAACCGCCCCCCAAAAAACCCCAAAACCCCCAAACCAGGTGGAGACCCACGTTTCATCCCCAGTACTCTAGGTGGTCCCCCAAGTGCACCGGGAGTAATTCCTGAGCACAGAGCCAGAGGTAGCCCCTGAGCACCACTAGGCGTGGCACCCTAACAACAAAGAGAAAAACCCAACAGGTGGAATGAAATGATGTTTGGGAGGGGGGCGGGGGGCAGGGCTCACTTTCCCGTTTCCAGCAGTGTCTCCTGGGGAGGATTCCCAGGCCCAGGTGGTAAGCCGGGGCCTGGGAAATGTCTGGGGGGGTGGGGGGAGACTGAGTTCATCATTTGCATGTGAGAGCCCCTGCGTGACCAAGCCGGGCAGCACCCCTGGGCCCGACCAGGTGCAGCCCAAACACCGGAAGAAGAGAAAGGGGTGAGATCACACCAGGCAGGGTGGCAGTGCCGGCTTGGGGAGCCCCGGAGGCACCCAGCCGGCTTCTGTGGCCAGGGTAGTTAAGTTAATTACTGTGAATAATAATAATTGAGGCAGCGCTAATGAGCCCTGTAGCTCCAGACCAAAGCTTAGCTCATCCCTCAGGAGGAAGCACATCCTCCCCCCACAAGGAGGCACTTCCCCACCCAGAGTTTGCCGTGGTCCTGAATGTTCTGGGACAGAGCGAATTCTTAGCTCATCCTTAGCAAATCGGCGTTTCCTAAGAAGAGGTTAGTGAGGGGTGAAAGGGAAGAGCGAAGAAGGTTTCCCCAGAACTAGAAAGCTCCTGGGCCTGCGTGTCTCCGGGCCTGTCTGAGTCCTTCCGGGAGGCGTTTGCCCCGGGGACCGGTGGGCCAGGGAGAAGGCCTCATGAATGTCCCCGTGTCCGGGGTGAGAGCTGGAAGCAGCAGGGCAGGCTGCTGCGGGATGCTTCAGAGCCACAGGAGCGGGGCCGGGCCCGGGAGATGCCGTGGGGGCATCAGGCGTGGGTCTAGAACTCAGGCGTGGCTGAAGGACCAGGGCCAGGCCAGTAAGCCGCACCTGCAGAGATACCCACTGCCAGGCTGCAGAAACCCCCACGCGATTCCGTGTCCTTATCCCCAGGGGTGATGGAGCTGTGGTCAGTGGATTCCATGTCCCAGCCCCCAGGGGGCTGGAGCTGTGGTCAGTAGATTCTGTGTCCCAGACCCCAGGAGGGATGGAGCCCTGGTCAGTGTCCAGGTCTCTCGCCACCCTTGGCTGTCGAATTTAGCAATCTACCGTGAACGTGTGATGAAGAGCTGAATTTTGCCCTGTGTGAAAGGCTGAGCCTGTTTAAAAAAAAAAACAACTTGCAGAGCCTGGATTTTCTGGGGCCAGATGAGATGCAACTGCATCGTGACACCCAGTACCGCCACCCACACGGTGTGGTTGCATTCTCTAAGGCCATATTCCGTGGCTTCCGTGGACCCATATCCATGTATGGCTGGAGAGTGTGTGCTGCAGAGGGTGGAGGGAAGCCCAAGCCGAGAGAGGCCCCCAGGGAGGCCAGGTGCGGGTGCTGGTCAGACGGCAGATCTTATTTTCATCTTCGGCACGTGGGAAGCACCTTCACGGGACACGGATGGGCACTGCTCAGAGAGGCCGAGCTGGGTGTCTTTACTACAGAAGCTGCATTCCCGAGTGGACCCACATCCCCAAGAACCCGTAGCACAAGGACAGTCAGGGATGAGCTTATAAAGGGCAAAACCACATCTTCATTAGCAGACATGATAGATAAGGAGCCGAGGTCAGCAAACAGGTGACAGAAGTTAACAAGCCCCTTAATGGTCCCCCTGGCTTCTGGTGACCCAGCGGTCATGGGGCTGGGCCGCAGGTCCTGCACCCTGAGCGGTCCATTCTCTCGGAACCATGGGGGACAGACCCCTTCTGTTGCCAGGCTGGGAGGGGAACGAAGTTGGGGTCTTTCATGTCAGGAGTCCTGAGCTCACGGCCCCCCAGTGACCAGACCACTCTGTGCTGCCGCAGCTGGGTCCAGGGTCCCCTGGCCACATCCTCACTGCTGCTTCTTGTCCTCTGGAGACTGGCCCTTCTCCCAGGTACCCGCTGGCATCATGCTGTGGCACCTCGCTCTGGATGCCCCCCTCTCTCCCGGGCAGAAGTGTCTACAGGGACCCTCTGGGGGCTGGGGAGCCCTGCCCCGCCTCATGCTTTTAAGCTGCCTTCTCTGCTTTGCCAGCACCCCTGGGGGTGCCCCTGGACATTGTCTCAATCCCTCATCCCCTCACTGAAATGCACCGAACTGTCACCCAGGGGAATGGAGCCCCCCACGCTGTCCCACCCCTCGGTCCCACTTGGATCTCTGGCCTGGATCGCAGGACTATTACTGAAGGCCCAGGGAAGTGACGGCTCCTTGACACCAGCCCTCCTGTGGCATGGTGTGACCGCGGTGTCATGCTCACGTCCAGCTTGGATGCTCCTCCTCCCCAGTGCCGTGCTCCCTGTTGGGTGCTCACACCTTTTGTTACATGGACCCCCCTCCCAGGCCAGGTCCCGGGAGCTCAGATTCGCAGCCCCTGTTCGTTCCTCAGCTCCCTGGACTCAGAATGCTTTGTAGGTTTTGGGGGGGTTGGGAGGGGTCACACCCAGCTGTGCTCAGGGGTTACTCCTGCCTCTGCACTCAGGGATTACTCCTGTCAGTGCTGAGGGACCCTTTGGGATGCCAGGGATTGAACCCTGGTTGGCCGTGTGCAAAGCAGACGCCCTCCCTGCTCTACTGTGGGTTCAGCTCCCCCAGTGCTGCTTTGGGTCCAGCCTGTCCATGGGTCCTTGAAGCTCTTTCCCCTCTGGGTCGCTTCCTGGACTGTCTCCGCGGAGGCGTCTTCGGGAGCCCCCAGCTGCTCTGACGACCCTGCTGATGGGTCCTGGGGTGTGGAGACAGGTACCGCTTGGATTAGGGGAGAACTGGCTTGGGTTCAAATTAAGTTTTTAAAAAGTCAACAAAGAAGGGGCTGGAGAGAGTCTGGCAGATAAGGCACTAGCTTGCCTTCCACGCGGCCAGCCCGGGTTCGATCCCCGGCTCCACACAGGGTCGCCTGAGCTCTGCCAGGAGTGAGCCCCGAGCACCGCCGGGTATAACCCCAAAGAGCAGAAATTGAATAGGATTAAAATAAAATTTTATTTTTAAGTAGATGTGCTTTGCCTTTAAGTTCTCTTCGGTTTGAGGGCTGAGATGAGCTGGCGGAACGGCGCGGGCCGCCGAGAGACCCTTTCTCCCCCGCCCCCGGGAGTGAACTGTCCCACTGCCCTGTCCAGCCAGAAACAGCACTGGATGCTGCCAACAAGTGCCTCATGCTGGGCGCCTGGCCGCGCTGATCAGCTCCACCCCCAAGTCCTGGACCCCCCTTGAGGGCTGCACTTTAGCTACTGGCCAGGTAGTGTGTGTCCCCCACCTGCAGCCTGAGTGACCCCCCCTACTGGCCCTCTGCAGGTTCTCAGGAGTCTGACAGCTCCCAGTCAGCCAAGAAGGACATGCTGGCCGCCCTCAAGTCCCGGCAGGAGGCGCTAGAGGAGACGCTGCGCCAGCGGCTGGAGGAACTGAAGAAGCTCTGCCTGCGGGAAGCGGTGAGTGAGCGGCCGCGTGGCTCTGTGGGCATGGGCTATGGGCCTCGTGGCTCTGTTGAATGAGTTGTTATGTGATTCCGCAGGTATACAGCCATAGGCCATGTGGTTTTGCAGGCACGTGGCATGGGCCTCGGGGCTCTGTGGACATGGTCTGTGGGCTGCGTGGTTCTGTGGGTTATGTGACATGTGGCTTAATCCTTGTGGCTCTATGGACGTAAGCTGTGGGCTGTGCGGTTCTGCAGGAATAGAGCCCGTGACATGTGTTTTGTGGCTCTGTGGTTCTGTGGGTGTGTGGCATGTGGCATGGGCTCCTGGCTCTTCAGGTGTGTGTGCTATGGGTCACGTGGTTCTGTGGACATGTACTAGGTGGTGTGGGCCTCGTGGCTCTGTAGGCGTATGCCACGGCCACGTGGTTCTGTGGGTGTGTGGTATGTGGCGTGGGCCTCATGGCCCTTCATGGGTAGACATCCAGCAACGTAGGAATCAGAGAGCCGGGGGCGGGGGGGCAGGACTACAGGAGGGACCCGTCAGAAACAAAAGTCATTGGGTGGTCCTGAGACTCAGTGAGTAGGTCCTGGCAGACCCCCAAGGGCCCGCACTGGAGCCGTCTCTGTCCCGCCTGTGTCCCTGGGCACCTCTGCTGTGGCCCCAGCTGTGCCTGTGGTCAGGGGAGCCCTGGCCCCTTGTGGACACACCAGGGCAGACTCGGAGTGACTCAGCCACAAGGAGACCCTTGTTTCCCCGAAACGTCCTTCCCTGTGAAGCTCAGGGTTTTTTTCATGAAATCTTAGTCTGGCGGGGTTTTTAAGCAGCGGGTTCTGGAGTATTTCCTGCAGCCCCGGGAACCCACGTCTTGGCTTTCCCTGGAACTCTGAGGCCACCACGACGTGATTTTTTTTTTTGAAACATGACACACGTGAGTGTGTGAGTGTGTGTGTGTGTGTGTGTGTGTGTGTGTGTGTGTGTGTGTGCGCGCGCGCTTGTGTCCCTGGGCATACCTGAGCTTAGGCGTGCCCTCGTAGGAGTGCTCCCAGCTGGGGTGCTCCCACCCACGGATTCTCCCCCTTCAACCCAGACTCCCTCCCTGAGGCTGAAGCTCATGTTACAGTTCCTCCGGCTTAATTACGCTCTGGACTGCGTTCAACCCCAGCCTGCAGACCCCTATTAGCACAAAGCCGTTGGACAGCCATGGGCAGGGCCTGTGCCCAGAGACCGTTCCTATCCGCAGCCTTTTCATAAGGAATCTGCTGGAAGGATCGAAAACAATGTCGGCCGGAGCGTCTGCATTTAATAATTCGTAAACAGCCTTGTTTGCTCTCAATAAAGGAAAAACCCCGCAACCCAGCAGCGAGGCGGCCTCGGAAAATTGGAGAAACGTGCTAAGCGAGGAAGCTCAGCAAGGGCCCGCAGCCTCGCTCCCGAGAAAAGCAGAGTGAGGAAGGAGTAACGTGTGCACACACACACGTAGACACACGCACACGCATGCATGCGTGCACCTGGACCACGACGGCCAGTGTGCACTCAGCATGGATGAGATGGGGGTAGAGACCCTCAGGAGCCAGCTTGCCGCCCGCCGGCCCCTCCCCGGCTTGGGCTCCCTTCTTTTCTCCCCGCTGCTCTGCTCACTCGGAAACTGCATTCACTGTGGAGACTCCAGGCGCAGAGGGAGGGAAATGAGGAGCCTTGTTTTTTTCAAAGAAGTTCTTTGTTTTCAAACCCCGGCCCTTGAGACTTACCAACCCCGCCATTCTGACAACTTTGCCCTCCTTTTTGTAAGTTTCACGGAAGAGAAGGTCCCACAATAAGGAGCCCCCCTGCGAGCTGTTTATGGTCAGACTTCCAGGGAAGGAGATGAAAACTCGAACTGCTCCCACGACGTTGGAACCACATTGTTCCTGAAGGAGAAAAACAAAAGAGGAGAAAGTCACAGCATGCACGCTCTGAGACAGGCATTGTGCTGAGCTGGGGGGGCCCCAAAATCCTGCAGCCCTGGGGTCCTTTCCCACACCCCATCCCAAAGGGGAGCAGGGGAGTGCCGCAATCGACAACACATACAACCCAGTCGCAAACACATGCCTTCCAATCCCAGGCATGCGCACGCGTGCGCGCACACACACACACACACACACACACACACACACACACACACTACAAACAGCAGTGCATGCAGACCAGCATACACACGGGCTCGCACACATCTCGTCACAACCATGCATGCTTCAGTGCTCACCCACACATGCACTGCATGCCACCCACCCTCCATGCACACGCATACACACTGCAGATGCACGCATGTACAGTCATCCACACTTACTGGCACACATACTTCATGCACACACCACACATACCACGTATACATGCATGCTTACATGCTCCATGCATGTACAATGCAGCCATGCGCATATACACACATACCCCACATAACTGTACACACATGTGTACAAGCACATACCTACCCCACATGCACACACTAAGCACACACCTGTGTGTACACATACACATGCACCTACACACATGCACGCTCACACACACACACACACACACACACACACACACACACACACACACTGCCTGGCCTCCAGGACATACATATATACCCATGCACGCACACACACGAGTTGGGGGGGGGACCGGATCAGACTCCTATGAGAAGGTCAGCCAGAACCCGGAAACCGGACGGATATTTCCACTTTCCCACCCATAGGTGGCCACGCTGGGGTGGAGAGAGGGTGTCCAGGCAGGCCGCAGGCCTCCCCTCTTTGCTGCTGTGGCACTGAGACTCCGGCAGGGCGTGGCCTGGCCATGGGGCCCCCATGTAGCTCACAGGCTCTGGGGGTGACGCCTAGTCTGGGCCAGTCCCGAGCTCACAGCCAAGCCAGACTCCACCGTGACTCTCTGCCTCTTCACGTGCGGGCACAGCAACTCACTCTCGTCCCACCACGCACAGCCGGGGATGCCTCAGCCACCCCACCACAGCCACTGTGTGCTGAGTATCCAGTCACTAACTCAGCATCTGCGCCACACATCCATGCTGTGACTGTACGACATCATCGTTCTCCACCCGGAGTCGGATGCAGTGCCCCTCCCCGGAGTCAGATGCAGTGCCCCTCCTCATACACTGGGGTGCAGCCCCAGTGCCTCCCTCCCTCCTCCGGTTCTGACTGTGTGCTCTCGGGACTGCGTGTTCTCGGGACTGCATGTTTGCCTGCTGGGGTCTCACAGAGGCTGGGAGACTGGCTTGGAAGACCTTTCCCTGATTATTATTATTATTACCACTGTTTTGGGCTTGGGGCCACATCCACTGGTGCTTAGGTATCCCTTCTGAAGGGGCTGGGGGACCCTAGAGGGTACCAGGGATCGAACCTGCGTCAGCCGTATGCAAGCAGGCGCCTTACCGGCTGTACCATCTCTCCAGCCCCTGGAAATGGGCTTTGGGAAACACTTTCCAGCACATGTGGGTTCTGTAAAGGTCCAGATCGCAGGCTGAGGGTACCCCTCGGGCGGCTTACATGCCCGAGTCCAACCCTCAGCAGCGCCTGGCCCCAGGGCCGCAGGGTGGGGGTGGCCCTAAGACACGGAAGCACTGAGTCGAGCTGGGGAAAGGGTCATGTTCCAGTCGCCCTTGCTTGGGCCTAGCTAGGGTCGTGTTACCAGACCTGTGCGCTGTGTGTGAGTGGCTGGACGTGTGTGGTCATGTGCAGGCACGTGGGCACGCGGCAGGGGTCCCGGAAAGCAGCCCAACTCTGACTTCCCCTCTCCTGCAGGAGCTGACGGGCAAGCTGCCCATCGAGTACCCCCTGGACCCGGGGGAAGAGCCGCCCATTGTCCGGAGAAGAATAGGAACGGCCTTCAAGCTGGACGAGCACAAAGTGCTGCCCAAGGGCGAGGTAGGTCCACGCTGCTGCCAGCAGCACGCGGCTTCCCGGGATCCCCACTGGCTTGTGGTCAGCATCCCCCAGCCCCGGCCCCTCGCCGGGAGCAGGGAGCACTTGGGTCTGCCCTCCCGGGGTGCTGTGGCCGAGGGGCCCCTGCTCACCCCGTCTTCCTCAGGAGGCCGAGCTCGAGCGCCTGGAGCGGGAGTTTGCCATCCAGTCCCAGATCACGGAGGCCGCCCGCCGCCTCGCCAGCGACCCCAACGTCAGCAAGAAGCTGAAGAAGCAGCGGAAAACGTCCTACCTGAACGCACTGAAGAAGCTGCAGGAGATCGAGAACGCCATCAACGAGAACCGCGTCAAGGCTGGCAAGAAGCCCACGCAGCGCGCCTCGCTCATCATCGAGGGTCAGTGCCAGCCTGCACGGGCGCTCACACCAACCCCACGCCGGGCACGTTGCAGAGTAGCCATGAGCCTCAGTCAGCCCTGGAATGGGCATGCTCTGGCCCCAGGGGCTGAAGGGTCAGCGGTGCTGAGGGAGAGGGGGGGACGGGGACGCTGAGGGGGTGAGGGGATGCTGAGGGGGATGGGGATACTGTAGGGGTGAGGGGATGCTGAGGGGGACAGACACTGAGGAGGTGAAGAGATGCTGAGGGGGACAGACACTGAGGAGGTGAGGAGATGCTGAGGGTGAAGAGATGCTGAAGGGGGCAGACACTGAGGAGGTGAGGAGATGCTGAGGGGGACAGATGCTGAGGAGGTGAGGAGATGCTGAGGGGGAGGAGATGCTGAGGGGGAGGAGATGCTGAGGGGGACAGATGCTGAGGAGGTGAGGAGATGCTGAGGGGAAGGAGATGCTGAGGGGGACAGATGCTGAGGAGGTGAGGAGATGCTGAGGGGGATAGACGCTGAGGAGGTGAGGAGATGCTGAGGGTGAAGAGATGCTGAAGGGGACAGACACTGAGGAGGTGAGGAGATGCTGAGGGGGACAGATGCTGAGGAGGTGAGGAGATGCTGAGGGTGAAGAGATGCTGAGGGGGACAGATGCTGAGGAGGTGAGGAGATGCTGAGGGGGAGGAGATGCTGAGGGGGACAGATGCTGAGGAGGTGAGGAGATGCTGAGGGGGACAGATGCTGAGGAGGTGAGGAGATGCTGAGGGTTAAGAGATGCTGAAGGGGACAGATGGTGAGGAGTTGAGGAGATGCTGAGGGTGAAGAGATGCTGAAGGGGACAGACACTGAGGAGGTGAGGAGATGCTGAGGGGGACAGATGCTGAGGAGGTGAGGAGATGCTGAGGGGGACAGAGGGTGAAGAGATGCTGAGGGGGTCAGACGCTGAGGAAGTGAGGATATACTGAGGGTGAGGGGACACTGAGGGGAACACTGAGGGTGAGGGGAAACTAGTGGCATTTTCTCTCGGGGGAGCCGCAGCCCAGAGTGTGTCCTACCCCAGGCACCAAGCCCAGCTGTGTCCCTGCATTCCTGTTCTAACCTTAGAGCCTGGTCCCGCCCCTGTCTGGAAGGAGGCTGGGTACATGCATGCCCGCCCCACTCTGCCACCCTCTGCCCCCCTGAGGGGGGATCTCCTCGCTGCTGCTGAAGTGGGGGAGGCTGGGCTGGAACCCCATTTAGCTGGAGCCCTGAGCTCGGGATAAGTTACGCAATAAACACAGTGGGGGAGAGCCCCAGTTCCACCAGCCACTGCCCCTCCCCCCCCCCACTGCTCCGAGAACTTTCCCCATCAGCCAACTCTGGACTTTTCACCCCGGAGCCTCCGGAGCCCCTGCACATTCGTTTGCTCCAGAAAGCAAGCAGGAGTGAGGATCTGGGGGTTAGGGGGACGGAGAGCTCAGTGGGTGCAGAGAAGTTTGTGGAAAAAGATAAAAGTCATCGAGGTGGAGGCGGGAGGTCGGTTGGACCTGCAGTATGGCCGCTGGTTCCTGGGCGTGGGGTGCAGCCTGTGGCCCGTGGCTCCGAGGGACCTGTGTGACCCCGGCCTGTGTCCTTGTCCCCGCAGACGGGAACATCGCCAGTGAAGACAGCTCGCTGTCCGACGCCCTTGCTCTGGACGATGGTAGGTGACACCCCCCGCTGGACAGCACTGGGACAGCGCCTGCTCCCTGTCCTGCCATGTCACTGGGGGACCCGGGCATGTGGGAGGGACAGAGACGGGGGCCAGGAGGCTGCTGGCTGCCTGGGAAAGGACTCGGGCGAGGAGACGCCTGCCTGGGCCCTTCTCACACAACGGGGAGAACTAGCGGTCATCAGGGCCATTCTGGGAAGATTCTAGAACATCGGGTGAGCCCTCTGTGCCCGACACAGGACCGGGAGGAATTTCAGGCCTGAAACCGGCTCAGAAAGTGCCTGAGCTGCTGAAAGGCCAGCCCCCGCCTCCTTCCCCGCATCTCTCCATAGGGAGTGGATTTAACTAAATCCCGGGGTGGGCGGGGGAGGGGAGAACAGTGCCTGGCAGTGCCCTGAGGACCAGCTGTGCAGGGTGCAGGGACCACCAGCGCCCTACCCAGTGGCTTCCCTGGGGCCGCATGCACCCAGCACACTCCAGGAGCACCATCTCCCCCCTGTGGATCGCCTCCTCCCATGGCCATCCCCAGGGAAAGCGGGAGGTCGCCAGTGTGCTCATGTGCAGGTCCATGAGGGCGAGACCGTGCGGCGGGGCGGGGGGGGGGGAGGGACGGGGGGGACAGGGGGTGTGTGGAGAGCAAACAGAGAGAGAGAGAGAGAGAGAGAGAGAGAGAGTGTGTGTGTGTGTGTGTGTGTGTGTGTGTGTGTCACACGCACGCGCACAAGTGTGCATTGGGGTGGGGAGGGGGGTTCCTGGAAGGGCCTGGGAGTGGGCTGCGGGGACAACCTCAGCAAGACATGGATTTGGGGTTCTGAGGTTGCCCGCTGTGCGCCTCCCCCAGCCAGATGTCTAGCTCTCAAACAGATGTTCCCTCTCTCACCCAAAGGGTTTCCTCTCACACAGCCCCCCCGCCCCCTCCCCCACAGGGCAGTGCATGGCACAGCTGCACCCCCCTCTGCTGCCCTCGGGGGGAAGGGGGGTTTGACATCCTCCCTGCAGTCCTGGGGCCCTTCTCCCTCCCGACCACTGCAGACAGCTTGTTTGGACACTCTGGGTAGCTCTGCTAGGAAGAGGCGGGAGAGATCGTGGGCTTCATCCCCCACCTCCTGCCCCAGTCGCCGGGAGCAAAAGACCGAACCTTAGTAGAGGGATGCCTGCCCCCCCCCTCGCCCGCCACCCCAGCCAAAGCCAGAGAGGATTTTAAGGGTTTTTTGTTTTTGTTTTTTTGCTTTTTGGGTCATACTCAGTGGTACTCAGGGGTTCCTCCTGGCTCTGCACTCAGGAATTGCTCTTGGCGGAGCTCGGGGGGACCCTATGGGATGCCGAAATTGAACCTGGGTCGGCTGCATGCAAGGCAAACGCCCTACCCGCTGTGCTATCACTCCGATCCTGAGAATGCCGGTTTTTGCAGTGACAGCTAGATTCCACCCTTGGGCGGGTCGGGCCCTTGCCCTTCATGCAGCCCACCAGGATTCCGTCTCCCTGGCACTCCATGTGGCCCCCAAGCCCTGAGCATAGCCAATGTGACCCCCCCACCCCCAAACGAACGAAACTCCTCAAGGGTGAGACGGGCCTGGTGCGGGTGGGGGCTGTGCCTGCCGAAGGACCCCTGCTCATGCTCTCTCCGCTCTCGTGCAGATGACCCTCATGTCATCAGCACACTGTCCCCCTTACAGTCTCCACACAAGGGCCTCCCGCCTCGGCCGCCGTCACACAGCAGGCCGCCTCCCCCGCAGTCCCTGGAGGGGCTCCGGCAGACGCCCTGCCACCGCAGCGACTACGACAAGTCCCCCATAAAGCCGAAAATGTGGAGCGAGTCCTCGCTGGACGAGCCATACGAGAAGGTCAAGAAACGCTCCTCCTACGGCCATTCCAGGTGACTGGGGCAGGGCTGCTGGTGGTGGTGGTGGGGGGAACCACTAGGGTGGAGGTGGGGGCACCCCCAGGTACAGGGCTCCTGGCACCCAGTCTATGCCCACTGGGTATTGCTTGACCCAGGGGCTGTGCTCGCAGCGCCCCCTGCCGGTGCCACTCTGGAGATGCAGCCTCGGGCAGGACTACCATCTGGCCTTGAAGGGCTGTAGACTCCATGGGGATTCACTGGGTCTGAAATTCAAAGGAGACTTTGCTGGAGGGAATCCAGAGGGGTCCAGAGCTGGCAGGAACATGCACCAGACAGTTGTCGCCTCACACACTGTCAGCTGGTCACTGCAGCTGGGGGTGGGGGGGACAGGGGGCCCTCTAGGCGGCTGGTCACTGCAGCTGGGGGAGATCGGGGCCTCTAGGCGGCTGGTCACTGCAGCTGGGGGGATGGAGACCCTCTAGACATCTGGTCACTGCAGCTGGGGGAACGGAGACCTTCTAGGTGGCTGGTCACTGCAGCTGGGGGAATGGAGGCCCTCAAGGCGGCTGGTCTCTGTGGCAGGTGGACGAGAGTCCTGTATGCAACTGGTCTCTGTGGCGGGGGTTCAGGGACCTTCTAGGCGACTGGTCACTGCATCTGGAGGAACGGAGGCTCTCTAGGTGGCTGGTCACTATGGCAGGGGAAAGAGCTCTTTAGGCAGCAGGTCACTGTGGCCGGGGAGACGGAGACCCTCGAGGCGGCTGGTCACTGCAGCTGGGGGGACAGAGGCTCTCTAGGAGGCTGGTCACTGTGGCCAGGGGCTCAGGGGCCCTCTAGGAGGTCTTCCTGCCTGCTTGACTTCCCCATTCCAACTCCATGAGCCCCATAAAGCCCCACGGAGGGGTCCCAGGCAGCTTACAGTGTGGTGAGGGGCAGAGACACCAGCCAGGGAGGGCGCAGGTGGCCCTGGCTGTGCTCGGGCAGGCAGTGAGCAGCATCACCCCGCTCTGCCCTGCAGTGGCCACAAGCGTTTCCCCAGCACGGGCAGCTGTGCCGAGGCCGGCGTGGGGAGCAGTTGTCTGCAGTCCAGCCCTGTCCGCGGCCTCCCCCAGTGGAACTCGCAGTCCAGCGTGCCGTCCACCCCCGACCTGCGGGTGCGGAGTCCGCACTACGTCCGTTCCACCAGGTGAGCCCCCCTGTCAAGCCTGGGGTCCCCTGGATCCCTGCCCAGATGACCCTGGGGTCACAGGCACAGGACTCCCCCTCAAGGACCTCCTTCCCACAATGCCCAGTCAGGGTGAACCCTGAAGGCTGCCGCCAATCCATAGGCATCAGCAGAGATGGACAGGGAGTGGAGGCAGAAAGGAGCTGGCCAGGCTGGCGGCCAGGAGTGGGTGCGGGGTCCCCATAGGGTAAGGGGGGCTTGACACTGAATTCCTCCAGCCCCCCCACCCCAGCACAGAGGGCGCAGAGTGGAAGCCCCATGCTAGCAAGGGAGGGGGAGGGTCCCATGTCCGTGGTTCAGGGTTCAAGGCAGGCACGTTCTGCCTTCCTGCAACTGGGGGTGCCGCAGACAGCCCTGCTTGGTGGGGAAGGTCAGTCACCACGCAGGGTGAGGAGAGCAGAATGACAGCGACAGGGCCTGGGGGCACTGAGGTCCCACCTTTGCCCTCTGAGCAGAGGCCTTGGGGTATCAGGGAGAGGGGCAGGACGGGACCTGCCCCCTGCCCCGTGGGTGAGGGGTGGGGAGCAGGGGGATACAGAGCCGGGACCCCACAGGAGCCTCAGGGCAGTGAGGACGACTGACCGGCCTTTCCGAGGTCACCTTCCCCCCACTCCCTGGTGTCCCTGGGACATGGAGATCTGCTGGTGTGAGTTTCTGGTGAAAACCTACTAAGGATCCAGCCAGACTGGTGATTTTGTTGTTGTTGTTTTGACCTATAAGAAAAATGGGTGTTTTCTCTCGTCTAACCTAATCCTAGGACAGAGAACTTGGGCTCTCTGGGTGCTCCTTAATCTGGAGTTGGGGTTCCGCCTGGTGGTACTCGATGCTCCTCCTGCCTCAGTGCTCTGGGGCTGTGTGGTACAGGGGTGGGAGCCGGGGTTCCCGCCCACCGAGCATGCGGGCTCCTCACCGTCTCTCCGTCCTCCCCAGCGAGGGGAAGTAAGCCTGGGCCTGCTTCTACCTGCACAGCCCCTTAGGCCGGGAGTCAGAAATGCAAACGGAGGGGTACTTACCTTGCACGTGGCAAGACAGGCTCAATCCCCTGCATTCACATGGCCCCCAGAGCCTCACCAGGGTAGTAATTCCTGAGTGCAGGACCAGGGGTAACCCCTGAGCACCGCTGGGTGTGGCCAAAGAAAAAGGAAAAAAAGGAAAAAAGCTGAAGGAATTAAAAAAGAAAAGGGGAAAAATGTAAGTGAAGATCCTGGGTGCTCCCCCTGGGAACCTTGGGGAGCCCCTGCAGGCCCAGAGCAGCCCCCAGCACTCGGCTCTGTCCCCATGTGGAGTGACCGCAGAGCCTGCCCTCACCGTGTCCCACACCCAGGCATGCCCCATTCTGTCCCTCACGTGGGGTGACTCCAGACCCAGCCCTGTCCCCAGCCCTGTCCCGACAAGGGGTGACTGCAGACCCAGCCCCAACCCTATGCGGGGGATACAGAGTCTGTCCTGTCCCCATGTGGGGTGATCGCAGACCCAGCCCCATCCCCCCGCGGGGTGACCGCAGAGCCCGCCCATCCACCAGAGGGGTGACCACACCCCCCAGCCCTGTCCCTACACGGAGTAACCACAGAGCCCATCCCATCCCCACGTGGAGTGACCACAGAGCCAGCCCGGTCTTCCCCCCCACGGGGTGACCACACCCCCAGCCCTGTCCCCACACAGAGTAACCGCAGAGCTCGTCCCATCCCCACGTGGGGTGTCCACACACCCAGCCCCAGACCCCCAAGGGGTGGTTGCAGAGCCCATCACGTCCCCATGAGGAGTGACTGCATATCCGGCCCCAGCCCCGACCCTACACGGGGTGGCCGCACGCCCAGCCCCGTCGCCAGCCCCATACCCCAGCGGGGTTCTCACACACCCAGCCAGACCCATCCCCCCCCGCGGGGTGCCCACACACTCAGCCCCGGCCCCAGCCCCGGTCCTCGCGGGGCAGCCGCAGACCCCACGGTCACTCACGGCGGCCCGGGCATGTCCCGCAGGTCGGTGGACATCAGCCCCACGCGGCTGCACAGCCTCGCCCTGCACTTTCGGCACCGCAGCTCCAGCCTGGAGTCGCAGGGCAAGCTCCTGGGCTCAGAGAACGACACGGGCAGCCCCGACTTCTACACCCCGCGGACTCGTAGCAGCAACGGCTCGGACCCCATGGACGACTGCTCGTCGTGCACCAGCCACTCGAGCTCCGAGCACTACTACCCGGCGCAGCTGCACGCGCACTACTCCACGCTGGCCGAGGACTCGCCGTCCAAGGCGCGCGCGCGGCAGCGGGGGCGCGCGGCGGGCGCGCTGGGCAGCGCCAACTCGGGCAGCATGCCCAACCTGGCGGCGCGCGGGGGCCCGGCGCCCGGCGTCTACCTGCACAGCCAGAGCCAGCCCAGCTCGCAGTACCGCATCAAGGAGTACCCGCTGTACGTGGACGGCGGCGCCACGCCCGTGGTGGTGCGCAGCCTGGAGAGCGACCAGGAGGGCCACTACAGCGTCAAGGCGCAGTTCAAGACGTCCAGCTCCTACACGGCGGGCGGGCTGTTCCGCGAGGCCGACGCGGGCCGCCTGACGCCGTCGCGCTCGCAGATCCTGCGGACTCCGTCGCTGGGCCGCGACTCGGGCGCGCCGGACAAGGGCCCCGGCCGCGCCGCCGTGTCCGACGAGCTGCGCCAGTGGTACCAGCGCTCGGCCGCCGCGCAGCGCGAGCACGGCCGCCTGTCGCACACCAGCTCCACGTCGTCCGACAGCGGCTCCCAGCACAGCTCCTCGTCCCAGAGCACCTTCGTGGCGCACAGCAGGGTCACCCGGCTGCCCCAGATGTGCAAGGCCACGTCCGGTGAGGGATGGGCCCGGGGGGTTGGGGAGGAGGGTGCCAGGGGTGGAGCCCCGGCCCAGGGGGGACGGGGCAAGAGTGGCTTTAGGCCCCCGCACCTGCAGCCTTCGGAGTGGCCGCTTGCGCGTGCCAGGGAGTGGAGGAGCCCCCGAGATGTGGGAGAGTTTTGCAGGGAGGGCAGAGGCGACTCCCCGGCCAGGAAGGGGTGGGGTTAGATCCCCGCCAGTTGAGGAATAAATCTCCACCCCAGCGTGGGCGCACCCCTGCAGGAGACAGAGCAGGAGAGTCGCCCCTGGAGCTGGCGCATGGCGCAGGGAGAGGAGGCGGGGTGGGAGCGGAGGGGTGCTGATCAGGGGTAGGCCCTGAGAGAAAGAGGGGTCCACTTTGGGGACCTGAAGGCGATCCCGGGGGTCCGGAGAGGAAGGGCGCACGGTGCTGGCCCAGACCCCTAGGTTCTAGAAGGTCTCTCGCACTAGTCAGCGGGAAAGTTCCAGAGCATCACGCAAACAATGAGGGGCATGTCCACGGCCATTCCCCCAGCCCTGAGGCTCATTCACTCCCCGAGGGGCTGGCGCTGGCGCCTGTGGCCCCCTCTCCAGCCCGGATCCTACCCAGCCCCGCTCTCCTTGGAGAAAGCCTCAGACTCCTGGGCTCAGGGGCTGTGGGAGAAGCCCTGCAGGGCGCTGGCCAGTGGACACGGTTCACTTCTCCCAGCCAGCAGGCAGGTCCCCAGGACCACTCGGGGGATGGAGTGGAGTCTCCCAGCATCGCCCTCCCCCAGGAACCTGTTTTCTTTTCTGTTGGGTTTTGGGGGGGTCTCCCAGGGATGCTGGGGTTGCACATGGACTGGTGCGGTGCCCAGGATCAGGCTCCTGAGCACCTCCAGGAGCCCCTGTGGAGGACCTCCCCCACCCATGGTGGGGAGCATGGTTGACACCAGCCCACAGCCACCCACCAGCACTGGAGCCCATAGCCAGGGAGGTGGGACTGTCCCCACCCCGGTGACCACGGCGCCGAGTGACTGCAGACCTGCTGGGTCGGGGGAGAAACCAGGGCGGGCGGCATGGGGGAGGGTCAGGAAGTCCTCCCCGACTCTGACCTGTGCTCCTGTGCTCCCCGCATCGCCCCAGCAGCTGCCTTACCTCAAAGCCAGAGAAGCTCCACGCCGTCCAGCGACATCGGAGTAACACCCCCCAGCAGCCCCCACCACATCCTGGCCTGGCAGACTGGGTGAGTGTGTGCCCCAGGAGGGGCATCCCAGAACGGGGGAGCCCACCTGGAGAGGCCCCGCCGCCTCAGCCAGCACTGAGCACTGCGGCTCTGGTTTCAGCAGGGCTTGGGGAAAGTGCGGAGTGACCCGTTCACGTGGTTCCTGGCGTCCACCACCTTGGGGTCAGGTTGCATATGCAGGGGAAGGGAGTCACCTTGGCCTGGCTGGCACATGTCCTTGAGGCTCATAAGCAGTGGCCCCCAGCAGAGCCCCGAGAAGTGCTGTGTGTCCACCATGTGGGCGCCACGCTGCACCACTGCCTGCAGCATTGGGACACACCTGACACCTGCCCCATGGCCCAGGGCCTGGCCGCCAAGACCACACTAGCTCCATCCTGTGCTCACAGTGGGTTGGGGGGGGTCAACTCTGCCACCGCCTGGGGTCGGCTCCCCTGGGAAGGAGCACCTGGCCAGCCCCGGCCATGGCCACGTGGCAGGCTCCCACGTCGACGGGCAGGAGGGACCTGAGCTGGACTCCACATAGTGCCTTCCCTGCTGAGTGGCACCCAGGAAAGCGCAGCTTCCGGTGGGGCAGGTCACATGCCTAGGTGCCCCCAGCGACTTGGCTGCCCTTGATTTAACATCCCGACCTCCCCCACTCTGGATTAGAAAATGTGTGGTCCCCACTTCCTCCCGGCTGCCTGGCCAACATTAACTCACCCGGAAGCAATGGTCCTAGGGGGTCCCATCGGAGTCATCTCCCAGTTCTTCTGGTTCCTGCCTACTCACCTGACCCAAGTCCATGACAGTCCCTGACCCAGCAGTGGCGTAGTCGGGTGACCGAGTTGGAGGTGGGGGCCGGGGGCGCCCGCACTGGGTGCTCGGTTCCTGATCTGTGTTCATGTTAGTTCCTCTCTAACGAGCCTTCTCTTCTCTTCCTCCTCCTGCTCGCCCCTTCAGAGAAGCCACAGACAGCTCACCCACCCCGGGTGGGTCTGAGTGTCCGACTCACCAAAGTACTGACGCTTAGAGGTACTGTGAGGGCTCGGGCGTGTGCCCGCCGCGTGTGTGTTGTTGTCCGTGCCCGGGCCGTCCTATGCGGCAGAAAACGTGTGTGGGGGGCGCATGTCCCGTTTCTTCATCCCTATGTAACTGTGGGCCAGCTTCTGCCCACCCAAAGGGGGATGCTCCCAGCCACTCCCACTCTGTGCTGGGGTAGTTTTTACCATGGGAGTTTGTGCCGGTCAGGAAAGCGGCTTCTGCGGCTCACTTCTCAGAAGCAGTTCCCCCCGCTCTCTGCAGGACAGCTGCAGGCCCAGCTAAGGCTGCAGGTCCTTGCTTTGGAAACGAGGCTTCTGGAATCCAAGGGAGTCTTAAGTTTGAACTGATTTCCTGTCCTCAGCCACCAAGGTCCACCAGAGGGACAACATGAAACTCGGAGCTTGGGCAGGGGTCACCAGGCCAGACCGGGGGGGGGGGGGGGGGGGTTGCATTTATCCCGTGTGGAGGCGACTGTGTTCCAGGATCTGTCCCAGCCTGACATCAGGGTCCAGCCAGCAGGTTGATGGCTCACAGGACACGCGGGGCCGAGTGGAGTTGTGGGGGTCCATGCCAAAGTGTTATGACACATTTGCGTCCTTTTGAGGACCTCTGACAGGCTGGGCTCTAGGCGGCCAAGCTCCAGGGCCACGCTCTGCATATGTGATTGCCATGTAATGTCGGCACTGGGCCCCTTCATTCCATCACGGTTCTCAGGGAGAACGCCTCAAGGCTAAGCACCTCTGGGCGGGCTTGGCGGCACAGTGGCGGCACAGGCCCAGCCACCACCACCCTGCCCACTCCCCGTGGTGGCTGTCAGAATGCCGCCCAGTACCACTCGCAAATGCCCCCCTGAAGGTGGCCATGCTGTGTAACTTCCGTTAGCATCAGCCCCCGAGGTTTCCTCGCGGTGAGCTTTCCTCGAGCTCCTGCTTGTGAGACTGGCCAGCCTTGCTCCCAGCCCTGGGTGGGCGCCTGCAAGCCTTCCGTACCTTGGCTGCTGGCGTGCACGGCCAGCTTCCCAGGCAAGTGTTGCTCTGGGTTTCGTGGCAGTGAGGATGCCCACGTATCCCTCCCGGCTTTTCCGGAGGCTGCAGCCAGGGGCCCCCTAACACTCCCACCGCGCCCCCGTCTGCATGGCCTTGTCCCCTGAGGCACTGTCTCGTGGCCGCCTGGATCCGCGTTTCCCTGAGGGTGAGGTGATTAACTTTCAGTGTCTCTGCCGTCTCTGCCAAAGTATCAGTTCTCCTTTTCTCGTGTTTTAATGGGTCTTCTCGCTGCCGTCCCTCTCAGCAGCACCATCTCCCTCCTTCGGTGCGGTGTGGGTTGGTGTAAGCCTTTCAATCTGACGTGGTCCCTTTGCTTGTCTGTGCTCTCCAAGGTTACTGCCTTGGAAGTCAGAGCCACAGAATCACCGCCAAGCCGATGGCATTGAGCCTCCACTGACAGTGCTCCTTCCTGGAATCACACAAGGCTCAGCCGTCATGAGAAACGGTTTTTGAGTAGGGGGCTGGAGTGATAGTACAGTAGGTAGGGCATCTGCCTTGAACACAGCTGAGTCAGGTTCGATCCCCGGCATCCCATATGGTGCCTCGAGCACTGTCAGGAGTAACTCCTGAGTGCAGAGCCAGGAGGAACCCCTGAGCACCACTGGTGTGGCCCAAAGACCAAGGCGGGGAGGGTGTTGGCGGGGAATGGTTTTAGACTGTTAGAAAGTTTAAGCCAAGGGTGCAGTCTGGGGCCTCAGGGGTTCAGTCCCTGGCATTGCAGTGACAATAATTGGAAAAGAGAAAGAGAGAACATGAGCCTTGAGGAGTTGTAGAATCCACCGGCTTTCTGGGTTTTTTTTTTTTTTTTTGTCTAGAAAAGGTCCGTCTGGTCTCAGAACATCGTGTTTTTGTCTGTCACACGGCTGGGATTTCTGGCTCTGTTTCCTTGAGCTTCTTCTCTCCTGCTGAGTCTGTTGCTGGGGGGTTGAGGAGGAAGGGGCTCACTTGGGCCGCACCCAGAGGTGCTGAGGGTGCTGATCCTGGCAGGCCACAGGCAAATTACACTCCTTACCCCCTTTCCAAGCCCTCTTGTCCCACTGACGGCTTCTGTGGTCGTTTCCTTCCAACCCTGGGTTCTCTTCGGGGAGGGCAGCCTCGCCACTCCGCTTCCCTCTGGGACCCGCTCTGGCGGCAGAGATGTGGATATGTGTCTCTGAGATTCTCTGGACTTCCTCACTGACCTTTTGCTCTGCCCAGTAGCTTGTTGCTTAATCTCCATCTACGTGTGCTTTTCCCAGTCTCCAGAAACGGGGGTCAGGAAGATAGTCTGGTTTTCTTAAACTTTCTGAGGCCTGTTTTGTGATCCATACATGTACCTGGGAGAACGTGCCCTGAGCACTTACAGAAAGCATGTCGTCTGCTTTTGAGTGGGCTGTTCTGGATTCCTGGTCCCGCGTGGGCCCCGTGGCCCGCATTCCCTCTGTGATTCCCTTCAAGGCGCAGATGGAGGGTGGTGCTCCCTGCTAGCATCCTGCCGGCCTTCGATCTTTTACCAAGTTCCTTGTGCTGGACTGACCATTCCCACCAGCTTCACCGTTTTACAGTCTCCTTTGTTTGACGGGGCTTCCCCACCACCCAGAAAGGAGACGGTTCCTATTTGGGTCCCATGGTCAGTGCTTTGTGGGGGGTTCTAGGGATGACGTATCATTGATCCGTAGGGAAAGTGACATCTTCGGCTTTCAGATCACGGGACGAGTATCTGAAAGGGAGGAGCAGTCCTGCTTCCTTTGGCTTTCCCGTCCCTGCAGTCTGAGATCTGACGGGAGTTTCAGCGAGGTCCCTACCCACTCAGCCACTCTACCCCCCCTACTCCCTCCTTTAATATACATTTGGGGGGCCATACCCTGTGCTGCTCAGGGGTCCTATGGATGAATCTGGCCCAGCTGCATGCCAGGCCAGCACCCTCCCCAGTCCAGCACCCACACCCTGCAGTGCTCCGGCCTCTCCTGGTGGGTCCCAGCAGGCTCCCCTAGCAGTGCTCAGGGGCATGGCCAGCACCTTCGCCCCCATCCTGTCTCTCGGGCCCCAGCAGAAACTGGGCTGAGTTCCTGGGGTCAGCTTCTCCCAGGCCGGGGGTGCGGGCAGCTTGGAGCAGGGCAGGTGGCTGCTGGGCATTACACCCCAGTCATGCCCTCACCCCCTCTCCCCTGCAGGAGCTATAGCGACTGCTGCTTCCTGGACTCCTCCGTCCCTCCGGATCTCGCCGACGTCCAGTGGTACGGGCAGGAGAAAGCCAAGCCTGGGACGCTGGTGTGAGTCGCCGGCCTCCACTGCCTCTCATCTGCCTTACCCCGACGCACCATCTCCCGTGCCAGCTTCAGCCCTCAGCACTTTCCTCCCCGTCTCCGTACCCCCCACCCCCTGACTGAGGAGACGTTCTGGAAGGTTCCGGTCCCACTGTGTGTCCCCTGCTCTCTCGCCCACGGAGGGCCGGGGATTAATCCTCAATGCACCTGGGCGGCTTCCCCCCGCCATGGCAGCCCTCAGGGAAGCTGGCGTGGGCGTCCCGCAGGCACCTGACCTGAACCGAGACAAAGACGCGCAAAGGGGCAACTTACCGTTGTCACGTACGGAGTGACCCGGAAGGACACAAGGCTGGGGCCAGCCTGCCGGCGGGGGGCCAGCCCAGCACTCGGAGAAGGGGACCCCTCTCGGGATGAGGGGGAGAAAAGAAGGAGCGTGGGGGAGAGAACGGAGAGCTTCACAACGCCCGAAGAATCGAGGAGCATGGATCAGTTCTACGCTGCCAAAGATTTAAAAAAAAGAAAAAGAAAACAGAAACACACACACGAGCCGGAGGGGCCCAGAGGAAAGAGTGCCCTGAAACTTCAAAAGTCGCTCGGCCGGGGAGCGTCAGCTGTCTGTGAAGCGTCCCCCCTCCAACCCCCCCACCCCAGCATCAGAAGCCAGCCAGGACGCCATGTGGGCCCTGGACGGGGCTGTCCACGGGCATGTCGCAGGGAAGTGTTGAAGTGGCAACTGCCCTGTGGGACTCTCACCCTCAACCAACCAGTAAAAAAAAGTGTACCCCATTTTGTTTTGGGCACAAACTGTTTCATTTCCTTTTTTAATGGGAAACCAAGGGGGAGGGGGGTAAAAAAAAAAAGCACACCGCGACCCATTCCAGTGTTTGTACCGTTGTGGCTCATTTGTGTCTGTCAACCTGTGTGACCGAGCACTCAGATTGACCAAGGTGTCGTTTGCTCAGAGCACCCGGCAGTGCCTGTGTCTAGGGCACGAACTCACACGCCTCCGGGGGAGGGGGGCCCGCCGCAGCCTCAGGGCACCCCCACCCCCACCCCCACCACCACCACTGCAAAGCGCCGGGGAGGCAGCACGGCTGGGCCAGGGGCTGCATGTTTACACTGCCTGCGCTGTGCGGGGAAGCCATCGCCCTGCCGAGGCCCTTCTCATACTGCCAACCGCACGGCGCAGTGGGGTCCCCACCAGCCCATGGAGTAGCCGGCTGTGCTGGTGGGCACGGGGGAGGGGGGCGTGGGGGGGGGGCGCATCTTTTCTCTCTTGTAATGACTTTCTTTCACTGACCGTCCACAGCCAGGGGCAGGAGCAGGGTGCTGGGCCATTTGGGGGGAATGCAGAACTGAAGTCCGCTTTTGTGTTAAGTGCAAAAAAAAGTTTTTTATCTCCCCCCCCACAGCTGTCCAAGGGAGCCAAGAGTCGGTCAAGGGCTTCCCTGGAAGCCAGGGAGGGACGAGGGGTCAGGCTAGCGCTCCCACCACGCCAGGTAGTATTTGGGCAGGCTGGCACACACAGCAGTAGGGGTCTGGGGGGGCCAGCGGGGCTGACCTCACAGGCTACGGAGCTGGTCAAAGCTGGGCACTGGGGGATGGACTGTGATTTGGCTGCTCCCTAGACAGTCAGAACTCCAGGGTTCTCTTCCTTTCCCTCTCTGGGGACTGTAGTCCTGGGGCCCTCCCCTGTTTTTAACCCAAGAACTGACTTATATTACTGGAGGAAGCATTAAGGACCTGCAGACCAGAAAGGGAAGGCAGAGCGCTCGCCGGGTTGGAGCCCGGGAACTCGCGAGGCAAATGGGCTTGGGATTGGGCGGGGAGGGGAGTGGGGCGGGCCAGAGAGGCGGAACAGAAGAGCCAGGGTGGGGGGCAGCCCAGGCTCACGCCCACGGAGTCCGTAAGCAGTGCTGGAGGTGACGTCAAACAGGTTTTACTGTTTTAGCTGCGTGCAGTTCACACAGAATGTACATAGCGGGGCAGTCCCTGCAACTGGCCGGGTTCAGGACCAAGACAAGGGGGAGGGATGGGTGCCCCGGGCCAGGCCGGCGAGCACCAGCGTTCCGACCTTAAGGTGGACTCTGGGTCCTGGAAGAAGCTGCCCGTTTGCACGGAAGGCTGGCGGGCGCGTCAGACTCGCCGGGAGACAGGTGTTTTCATTTCGTTCTAGGGCAGGTGAGTGTCGAAAACGTTCAAGTCCCCTTTGTTTTTGTTTCGTCTTAGTTTAGTTCTAAATGTAGCTGACCCCACCCAGGTGCTATCTGAGGACCAGTTACTGCTTAGATAACTAGGAGTAAGGTTTACCCAGGCACTCATGTCAATAGATTCTTACAAGTTGTGTGAAGCCGGAATAACGGGCCAAGCAATGCGGTCGGTCCTGAACCTGACGGTAGAGCATGGAAAAGGATTTTACTGGATTCTGTTCAACTGTAATCAATGAAAAAGATGGATGTTGTAGACAAAGTTGCAGAATTAAAAAAAAAATCAATCTGCTTCTAATTTATTCTTTTGTATTAAGAATTTGTATAGTACCTTTACATTTTGCAAACCAGTGTTGTCAACACTTATTAAAGCATTTTCAAAATGAGAAGGTCTCGGCTGCCTTTTGGGGTCTGTAGGCATCACTGCGGACATGCACCCCCAGAGTCAGGGCAGCCCAGTGCACGCATCACCACCCACCCACGATGCACCCGTTCCCCTAGTACACGGACAAGCGCCAGCCCCTCCTCAAGACATGCAGAGCCAAGACGCCATCTCTGTGTTTGGCTGGGGCTCACACATGTGCAGAAGGCATAAGACCTGGGCACCTGTGGGAAGAACAGAGAATGTGGGGGAGCCCCTAAGTCCCAGTCTCCATCTCTCCTGGATCTGGGGGAACGCCAGACGTGGACGAGACTGATCAATCACACGGCCACAGCCGTGCCCATGCACCCATGCGTGGGAGTACAGGGGCGATGGCTAACAGAGGAGCAACACACAGACTCCCCGACACCACCCAGTCCTCAGCCGGGGGGAATGGGGAATCCTCTGGGCTGACTGACGCAGAGCCCAGGGCTGATGCCTTGGCCCCTAGGCCAGCTCCACCTTGCCCAGATGAACTGCCTGAGAATGCGAAGACACCCCATGCCCGCAGGGGATGGCCATGGCCTTCTCCACCCTCCCAGTCTGGCCCCCAGCACCCCCCCCCCACCCTCCCCATCAGCTGCCCCCAGAGAACACAATCCCTGCAGGAAGCACTGGCCCTTCCTCTGCCCAGCAGAGCTCCCGAGCCCCCCCAGGCAGCAGCTGAAGCCCCCACACAGGCTCCATCCAGGCCGTGCTTCCCAAGGCAGGGGTTCCAAAGCCCACCGGCGGGGGTGGCAAATAGCACTGGGTGCACTGGTGGGGGGCGGGGTGCTGTTGGCCTTAAGATAAGTGCACAGGAAGGTGCTGACTCACCGCCAGGCCCGTGATGTTGTGTGAGAGGGAACAAGGCCAGAACGAGACGGAAGCAGGCAGGAGAGCAGCAAGTGTGGTGCTGCCTCCCCCCTGCACCGTCTCACCCCCTGCTCCACTGCACAAAGCAGTCAGCTGATCCTGGGGGAGGGAGCGTGGGGACGCGAGAGGGGCCCTGGGAGGAGCGTGAGGGCACGAGAGGGCCCCGGGGTTCTTCCACGGGACACCCGCTTTGTTCCCAAGTAGGCACCTTGGCATTCTCACTCACACGTCCACGTTCTCCCCAACCCCTCGGCACGCTTCACCCCTATCGGGCCGACTCCTCACCATGTCAGGGCAGTGGCTGATTCTGGGTCCTCGCCTGGGCCTGACCGGCTGCCCCAGCCCAGCAGAGCCCCTGCACTCATGTTCCTGGCGACCCCTGACCTCTGGGCTGTGGCTGGGCCGGGCTTAGTGCCAGTGACACCCACCCATTCCCACCTCCCGCTGAGGCTGCCCCCACCCCATGTTTGCCGCCCCCATGTCTCCTGTTCCCAGCCCAGCTCCAGCCGCAAGGCTGCCCTCGGCTGGGTTCCAGGCCAGAGAGCACGGGGTGACCCCGAGGGGCCGTCCCACCCCCCGGCAGTGGGCACAGTGGAGCCCGTCTCAGGGAAGTTTCAGTTTTGTCAGCCTGGAGGGGGGAGAGGCAACGAAAGGAGGCGTGACATAGCAGAGAGGGAAGACACAGAGATGGCGGCAGGGGGCACCCATGGCCACCCCACAGAGAAGTTGGGGGCAACCCTGGAGGTGGAGCCGCACTGGACCTCAGCAGACACTGGGTCAGGCAGGGCAAGGCGAGCGGGACGGGGCTGGCGGCTGAGGGGAAGGAGAGCGCGGAGCTGAGGGACGAGGCACGCCAGGCACCTGCCGTTCCCCGGGGACTCGGTCACCAGCCCCAACAGCAGAACACACCAGTGACCCATCCAGCGCAGTCCAGAGGCAACAGCTGTCCCTGACAAGGCGCCTCACTGGTGGCCGGTCCTTCCTGTGACCTCTGGGGGAGCGATGACCCTGGGCTGTCACAGGCAGGGGACCCTCGGGCAGGGCGCGGATAGAGGGCGGGGTGCCAGCAGCCCTCCACAGGCAGAGGCTCCGACCCGCCCTGGTGTCCTGGGCACATCCGTGGCTCTCACGGCAGCCAGCGCTCCCAAGACTCCCATCAGTATCCCCCAAGCCACTCCCTCCCTCGGGCCCAAGAGGAGAGCCCAGGATTCTCCGGGGACAGGCTGGACACGGCCGGAGAGGGCTGGGACCCGAGAGTCTGTTTCCTGCCCTGCCTATGGGGGCCACGAACTGCTTCCCGTTGGGGTGTCTGGGACTTTTCTGTGGCCAAAGTGGAACTGAGCAGCAGCTGTGGCACACAGCGGGGCAGCACTGGCCCAGCCTCGGGACCCAGTGAGGCCCACCCCGTCCTGCGGCCTGGAGGCTCTGAGATGCAGAAACCCCTCACTGACCCGAGCGGGGACCCATGCATGACACAGCACGCCTCCCCCCACGCCATCCTGGGGTGTGACTGCCCGCTGAATGGAGCGGCAGTGCCCAGGGGCACCTGGACATTGGCCCCAGGGCAGGGGTCCGAGGGCATTTTTGAAGGACACAAACCTCCGAACCGCTGAGCTGTGCCCAGCAGATGCCCTCTCCCTCGTGGGCCCCTAGCACCTGTCAGCGACACCCTCGGCAGCAGGGGAAGGAGGAGAGCGAGCTAGCCCTGCCCGCTGCCCGCAGCTGCCTCAGGCTCCGCACTGCATTCTGTCCTTTTCTCCTCTTCCTCCTGTTTCTCGAAGGCTGATGCGGTGGCTCCGTGAGTGCCCCGAACACTTACCACCA